TGCCCGACAAACTTTAACTTTTCAGCGAGAGTAGCTGATCAAGCTACTATATGTGACGCAGAACTTATTGCAATACATACAGGAATGATGATGTGTCTAGAAAATGATTTAAAAAAAAACTATATCTTAAGTGACTCTAAAAGTGCACTGGAAAGAATTGGTAACATGAAACTAAGTGCAAAAACAGATTACATCACAATTAAAATTGAACAAACTAGGCAGTTGGCCGGATTGAATGACACTGAATTCGAGTTTGCGTGGATTCCAGGGCATTCAAACATTGACGGCAATGAGAAAGCTGATAAGTTGGCTAAAGTTGGCACGATTCTTAATGTTCCCCTGAATATCAAATTAGATAAACATTCTCTATTACCAATTTTTAAAAATAATATCTGGAATTCGTTTAGAAAACAATGGGCAAAAGACATTGTACTTAAAGGAAAAATTTACCAAAAAGTTCACTCTGAATATCCTAATGAAGTATGATATTTAAAATTCCCAAAAATGGATAGACGACATATTACTACAATAATTAGAATGAAAACAGGACATTGTACCACGAGAGAACATCTATACAAACTTAACTGTATCGATAATCCATATTGTGAATGTAGAAAAATAGAAACTTTAAATCATATATTTTTTGAATGTCCAATCAACGCTGTCCCTAATTTTGACTTATATAATCAAACTATAGAAAATGGAGTCCAAGCTCCACTAACCATTCAAATTGTTCTAAGCAATCTTAATATAAAAATTCTAAAATTACTTATTGAATATATTGATTACAACAGTCTTAAATTGTAATTAAAACTAACGCAGAGATGACCTGATATAACTAGTATCTTCTTTAATACCCCTATACATGCTACATTGCATGCTAAACTTTTACCTACTAACTAATTATAGTACAATATGCTGTTACTAGATAAAGAAGACAAACGCAAATAGATGGAAAATAACTCGGCCTATAACATGGTGCATACCACACAACGTTGTAGTCCCACGATCGACATGGCTTAATGCACCACAATGGTAGCAAAAGCCATTATCATAGAGAGAGAGAGAGACCATAAGCAGAAGAAGAAGAATTTGCATTTTGTGTTGTATTGTAAATGGTAAATTATTTAATGGAATACAAATCAAATACATATTTTGATTATGATTTCCAGCTGTTGGATAGTTGTATTGAAAGTAGGTATACATTATTTATTTCCTGAAAATAGATAATTATAAATTTTATATTGCAGGTTATGTTGTGATTGATATTGGTACTTGCCACCAAATCTATAAGTGAATATTTGAGTCAATATTGTTTAATGAAAAATGTCAGATCAATCCGACCTGATGGATATTTCTTCTGTGAATACCTCGCATGATCCAAATCAAGCTCAAAAAAGTACTGTATCTCCTAATAAAACAGATCAGTATGCTTCCCGGCTGAATAATCTACAAAGAATCCAGCAGAAGAAAAAGGCAGTACTTGGATTTCCGTACAATAAAAAATTGTTGAAGCTAGCCGTGTACTCAAAATGCCAGGTAAAGTACTCCTCACTTCTAAAACACAAATTCGGTTTTTCAGGTAGCAAAATAATCATTCAATTTTATTTACTTATTAATGCGAACCAGGAAAATACATACTTACACCTATTTTGTCTCTGAAGATTCCTTATGAGAAAATCAATGTCAAGATCTTGACTAACAAGAAAAGTTGACTTGACAACTTGGTATGGCCTGCTTGTTTTTTTTTCTGCGGAGGGATTTCGGAAAATATCCCTTACCGAAAATTAAATTAGGTGTTCTATAAAATTTTTATCATCAGGCTGGCTGCTTGTAAGTGCTTCAGTCAAAAGTCTGCCGATGCACTAGCATCAGGGAAGTCAAGCCTTTGTCACATCAAGCTTCTAATAGAAGTAGATTGAAAGGAAGAAGTAAAGTTATCAAAAAATGTTTCATACAAATGTTTTAGATATCAATGCATTAGGTTTTATGAAAAAATCTCCTATACAGAGTATAAAGAAAATTTAGGTTAAATCAAAGTTGGGTTTTTCAAATATAATGAGATATATTGCCTCACATATTTGGATTTCATCAAAAAAATACTTTGAAAAGTATGGTCTGCATGAATATATACTGAGCGGTTTTTAAAATTACTCTAAAAGTTACGTTAAAAATTTGATCCATTCACAGCCCCCATATTCAATGAAAACTGATTTGAAGAGTCTGTTTTGATTTTTTGTTATGGATAAGTTTTAAAAATATAGTTTATTCATTGTCAAATAATAATTTGACCACAATCTTTTTTCTATTACTTAGTGATTAGAAACTTGAAAACAAATTTTTCTTTAAATTGATGGATGTAGCCGTTACTATGTGGTAGGAGATCATGATGAAGAGATAAATGAAAATTTCTGTGTTTTTTACCACTTTTATTTGTAACTAACGTTACTGCCGTTTCGTCCTATATGGACATTTTCAAACTTAAACAATAAACTAAGAATGATTCATTACATTCNGAGCCTCTGGATACACCCTAAATTTTGTTTCATAAGAAAGAGGACATTGGTAGATCAAGATCTTCAGATGATGTGGTGCTGCAGGTTTTTCCGGGTTTTCCTGCAGCTGAAAAAGCAAATGCGCCACTGGAATCAATGAAGTCCCCCGGAGCACCAATTAATTTTTATTGTTTTTTTTATTTTTATCGTTGCAGTGAATAAATATTTCGAATTCTCAACACAAAACCCAGCATTTTAAGACTTTTTGCCACAATTTCTGATACTTGTAAAGGAACTTTCCTAAACAAATTCGAACATGGGAAGCATTATATCTAATTTCTATAATCTATAATCTAATTTAAAAAACCCAAATTTAATATGCCATTAGATACTCACTAGATACTCTGTATATTGGAATATATAAAGAAACCCATTTCATTGATATCTGAAACATTTATACAAAAAATTTTGATAACTTCCATTGTCTAATATGATATAAATTGATTTGAAATCCCTGAAAGAATCTATAAAAATTGAAATGATTTGCTGAAACATAACAATTATATTAAGCAAAAAAAACTGAAATTACAATGGAATAAAATACAAGCAACAACCAAACAATGAAAACAAAGAACTATCAACACGAGATGAAAATTAAAAAATTATTAACAAGAAATGATACTTAAAAATCAAAAGATTCCAAACCAAGTTACTTCACGACGTTTCGATTTTTAGTATCCACAATCGTCTTCGGGTGATAACTGGACTTATTCCTCACAGATCTGACTTTATAGGTCATTCAAGTGCTTTCATGTATCCACCTTTTCCTCTCTCCGCTTCATCGGTTTTAATGGAACTGACCGTTTGGCGAGAGTTGGTCGGGTTCCGCCTGATTAGAGATTTCCATATGTTGCGTATCTCTTCGCTAGCTTGGCTAAAAGCGTTGTTGGACAACATATATGCGGCTTCTTTGAATTTTCTCCTAAACCTCTGTGTGTATGATCTCAGATACTATTCCCAGATCTGAAGCAGATTCTGATGTTATACTTGGACACGATTCTTTTTATACTTTCCGACAATCCTCTGATGTAGGCAAGCACAAGTAATGGTTGTGGCGGCTTCTCTTCCCTGTGAGGCTCTCGCTGTCTTCTAGCCAAAGTCTCTTCCACCATAACTTTGAAGTAATCATTCCGTTGAAGGCCATTTTTGATGACGCCTAGTTCCTTTTCGAGACCTTCCTTTGTATTACAAAGCCCGAAGGCACGGCCTACTAGAGTCTTGATGATTCCTCTCTTAATCGATTGATGGTGGTTGGATTCTTGATTCAGATACTGTCCCGTGTGAGTGGGTTTTCGGTATACATATGTTTCCCATTTAGTGTCGGTCCTCTTCACCAATACTTCTAAGAATGACAATTTGTTATGGACTTCCTTCTCCATAGTGAAAGTGATGGAAGGACTTACGTTGTTGATGTGCTTCAGGAAGGTGTCTAGTTCTGCATTCCCATGATTCCATATTATGAAGGTGTCGTCAAAGTATCTCAACCAGACTCGAAGCTTCTTGTGGGCTTCTTCAATGACCAGAGTTTTAAACTACTACATATATATGTTGGCTATAACCAGAATAGCAGGAATAGCAGAGCATGTTTGAACTCATCAACATAATATCAAGTGGGCTCAAGCTGAAATCATCCACAAGGAGGAACACTGGTTTAGGAGAAAATTCAAAAAATGCTCATATATGTTGTCCGACAATGCATTTAGCCAAGCTAGCGTAGAGATACGCAACAACCTATAATCAAGCGAAACACCACCAACTCTCCGATTAAGCGGCGAGAGGGAAGAGGGGATACGTGAAATCAATCGAATGACCTATAAATAGTCAGATCTCAGAGGAATAAGTCCAGTTATCAACTGAAGACGATTGTGGATACTAACAATCGAAACGTCATGAAGTAACTTGGCCTGGAATCTGTTAATTTTTAATTTTCATTTATTGTTAATAATTTTTAATTTTCATCTCGTGTTATTAGTTCAATAAATTCTTTCAGGGATTTCAAATCAATTTAGATATATTAGATATATTCCTACAAGTTCTCAGTGAAATACTTGATTTTGTACAAAATAAATTCAGAAAATATGATACATTACTATGTGGTGATTTCAATATCAATCTTATGAATACAAATAATGCAACCACTCAGTCTTTTCTGCACCTCTTATTAACATATAATCTGCACAAACAAATAAATGAACAGACAAGAATAACACTACTGGATAATATTTTTTCAAACTTTGAAAACGATCATCCTAGAGAAGTTATTATCTCTGCATTATCCGATCATGAGACTCAAATGCTCAAAATTGAAAGGTCAGGAAAAATTGAAACTAAAAAAACAAATACAAAAAATAAGGAAACAGTATTCTCAGATGCTAAGCTTGATCAATTGAAAAATGAATTAAGAAATATCAACATGTATCAACTTTATTCCTATGAAGATCCAAATGAAGCTTATAATTATTTCAATGGAGTCCTCAGACAACTAATTACCATAGGAATAAAGACATCAAGCAAACAGGTATATTTAATGATACATACCAAAGATATAGCAATATTTTCAAAAAATTAGCTAAGAGAAGCCAAACAACCCTGTAATAAAAATTACATTCATACGTCCACTAATAAGTCCAAGGCAGTATGGAATCTGATCATATCTATTACTGGTTTCGGACACTAAGACACCTATGTCAGTATCGGAAAACATTTCTCCAGATGAAACTAATAAAACACTAGCTCTAAATGAGGTTAATCAGTACTTTATTAATAACTGCACAGCTTTGAATAGTGTAAATAAGAGCAATAAGTATTTGGAGCCTCCATCTTTCGATAAAAGCATATTCTTCCTCACAACAGATTCAAAAGAAGTTTATGATACTATTCTGAAGTTAAAAAAAAGTAAAACAGTAGATGAAGATGAAATGCCAACTAAATTACTGAAATATGTAGCATATGAGATATGTGAACCTATTGCACATATAATCAACTTATCATTTTTGACAGGTATTTTTCCTGACAATCTTAAAATTGTGCATGTCAAAGCTATTTTCAAAAAGGGAAATAAACAAGGAATAATTAACTATAGGCCTATTGCAATATTGTCAAATGTTAGTAAAATCATTGGAAAAAATAATATACAATAGACTGATCACGTATCTAGAGAATAATAATAATCTAAGTGATATGCAGAATGAATTTGGAAGGAATAAATCGACTACTCGAGCTAACTATCAAGCTCTATGTAAGGTAATTGAATCTATCAATAGTAATAAGACTACAACAGCTGTCAATCTAGATTTGTCCAAAGCTTTTGACACTGTTGACCATAGACTACTGATAACAAAATTGTCGTTCTACGGTATCAGGGGGCTGCCACTCGAACTATTTACGTCCTATTTGAAAAATAGACATGTTACTGAAAGGGATACTGATGGAAATCTAATGAAATGAGAAATGCTACATATTGTAAGAGTTGTACACCAGAGGTCAGTGTTGGACCCACTACTATACATTCTTTACACTAACAATGTGCCTGAAGTTGTTGATGAATACATGGTTCAGTATGCCGATGACTGTTCTATGGGTTCGAAATTTAGTCACAATCTTCCGAATAGCTCCTTCAGTAGGCCGACGAAACTGCCCTTCGCCGAACATGAAATTTGATTATAAAATTCAATAATTTGCAAACGTTGTTCATTCGTAAGTCGATTCATGGTTAAATTATAGACTAAACTGAACAAGTTTGACACAAGACACGATTCACGCGTGATCTGTCAAAAACAATGTTTCCAAAAAGATACCAGCAAAAAAACACTCATTACCTACAGACAAATATATTTTTCAAGCTAAAGATTCTGGAGGAGTACTCTACATCACACAATCTCAAACTGAATAAAAACTACACACCAAAACGGCACAAATAATTCTTTTAGTGATGGTGTAACTATTTTAGAACCATTGACTCAACTTTCCTTTCTTTCAAACTGAATAAAAACTACACACATATCATATCTTTTACCCAAAACGGCACAAATAATTCTTTTAGTGATGGTGTAACTATTTTAGAACCAGTGACTCAACTTTCCTTTCTTAGAATTATAATTGACTCAAAGCTGGACTGGAAGAGCCACATATATAAAAAGGCAACACAAATGTCAAGGTATTGCTATGCCCTGAAAATAATTACATTAAATATATCCACTGAGGATGCGATGTTAGCATATACTTAATGGTTATATTCAGAGTCACATCACATATGGCATTATACACAAAAAATATTCATATTGCAAAAACGGTGTCTCAGAAAAATATTCAACCTTTCTCAGAGAGACAGCTGTAAAAAAATATTCATAGAGAAAAAAATATTTACACTAACAGGTCTCTATATTTATGAATCTGTGGTATTTGTCAAAAAACATATATCTTTTTTTTTGACTCATGATAGGAACCATACCCACAACACACCAAACAAAAGTAACTTTTTGAATATAAAGACACATTTGACCTATCTTCAAAAAAATATAGGTACCTTTTTCAATCATTAATATTTATAACAAGATACCTGAATCTCTCAGAAATTTGTCTTCTATGATCATGAAAAATAAATTGAAAACTTATTATTCACTGGAAGAATTCTTCAATGATAATTTAAACTGATGTTGTATGCGTTGAATATTTCATGTCGTATCATTCTGCATTGTGATTTGTGATGTAGTTTAGTCTCTTTTGAACCCTACATATAGATGTATATGTTCGTGTTCTGTATCTAATATAATAATATTACTTTAAGTATATTGACTGTGATAACCTTGTTATTCATAAATCTGTGGCCATTTATATTCTTAACCAATATTAATGATATTGCCTCATTATTTTCTACTACTTCTGTAATGTTTACTGTAATTGACATGTTCTATACCTGAAAAGATGTTTTATTACAAAGAACTAATAAAGCATATCTATCTATATCATATTAGACAATGGAAGTCCCAACCAATGAAATGCACCATGAAACATTGTCAACCACCTTCAGACAAATATTTTGATAACTTCACTACTTCATTTCAAACTTCTAATGGACGCTTGATGTGACACATACCTTCAAACAAATATTTTGATAACTTCACTACTTTATTTCAAACTTCTAATTGATGCTTGATGTGACATACTCTATTGTTGGCTCTAGCAATATACTTATGATGCACTGTTTGGAACTTTTGATGGAGTGATGAATATTACTGGAGTTTTTTCCCAACACCAAATCGTTAATTTTTAACACCTCAACACGTGTTTCGATCACCAAGTGATCATCTTCAAAGAGGAAGATTAAAACTAAGAACTAGTGCGAGCTAATTCTATTTATGCTATAGTTGGTACGCCTGGATGGTTTACCTGTATGGGTTACCTTTATAGCATAAATAGGATTAGCTCGCACTAGTTCTTAGTTTTAATCTTCCTCTTTGAAAATGATCACTTGGTGATCGAAACACGTGTCGAGGTGTTAAAAATAACGATTTGGTGTTGGGAAAAACTCCAGTAATATTCATTTAATATTCTAGCAATATAATTAAATCAAAAATTTTATTTTTACTGATTAGTACAGAACAATTGCTTCTCTTCCATTTCATCTAACCATTGTCTTCGTAATTCAAACTTTTCTTGCAATTGATGAAAACTCACAACTTTCCAAGTATCAATAAACAGGAGTCCTTATGACTCCTGTTTATTAACTACTGTTCCAATAGATGTTTTGGATAGAGGGTGAATATGGAACTTCAATGTCTCTAACATTTTATATATCTCATTGAAGGCTGAAAAATGTGACTGCATTGGATGGAAAAGAGTAGATAGCAATCAACAGAATCCCACTTTTACTGATCCTTGTAGATGTGAGCACCCTTTAGGTAAGTAAAATATGTATATATCAAGGTTGTAAAGGAAACTTGTCTTCGCCTCTGCAACTGTGAAACTTTCGCATGGAATGAATTTCCGCATCTACCCACATATGTGTTTCAACACAATTGTGTTTATGAACGAGCATGTACACGGCAAAACTGAAAAACTTTCGTAATGTCTCATTAGACAGTAACTTGTTATTTTCTGCCTATGAATGAAGTAAATTATAGGAACTTTTTTTATATACATATAGTCGACGCCAACTAAAATGAGTCAGCGCAGAAAAGTAAAATCGTTGTGTTAAAAGGCTCCGCCCATTTGAGTCATATTTCGTATAGTTAGTAGCGTAACAGCCACAAGTAAATAGTCTTGAGTCAGGTATTAAGTTATAAGTCAAGTCGTGAGTGGAGTTATAAGTAAATAATCCAATTTTATAACTTCAAAATGATTGAGAAAAAAGTCTAATATTAAATGTGCATAATTACTTTAAAAGTAGAAAGAGTGAATGGGACACTTTGTTAATGGTGAAAAGTAAAACATTGCAAGTAACAGGTAAATAACTTTAAATTACATTTCAATTATATTTATTGAGTTTAGGGTAACCAATTCTGTGAATCTTTAATTTTTATTAAATAACTATTTGATAAACATAGACTTCGTCGAAAACAAACGAGAAGGTCGAAGCGTGGGAACAAATTACGCTCTGCAAACTTCCCGTTATCCTTATTTTGCATCTGAAGTTTTTCAAATACATTAACTACCGTTGCACGAAGATTATCAAGGCTTTTGATTTTGAATTCGACTTGAAGTTTGATTCGACTTTGATATCGTCGGAAACACAGTCTCCAACAGAGAGACAATACAAGCTATTCGCCGNTTAAAATGAAATCAAATGAGGTTCGGAAATACAAATTGCAACTAAGAATGGCTTAAAATGGGTTAATTTAACGCTTTAAAGGGGTTGATTTAGAATATAAAACGACAAAAGACATTGAGCTTTAATAAAACATATACCACATATTTATACTACCTCAAACTATACAGTGCATTTCTTTAGTGCTCCCCCCCTTTTATTTTTTGAACGGGTCAACTCAAAGAATTGAAATTTGGGATAATGAAATGAATGCAGCAATTGGACTAAAACATTAAAAACACTTTCAGTCGTTATTTTCATAAAATGAGTAGAAACAATTCCTAGTTTTGACTAAACACAGTCGTGTTTCACATTTTGAGCATGTTCAGTGAGTTTTTCCTGTTTTCCTGTTTTGCATAGCCGACAACGACCCTTAGTGATATATATGGGAAAATGATCAATCTTATCTTGATCATCTTGATCTTATCTTGATCTTATCTCACGTCACTTGTAGGCCTCGGAATTACTGCTCTTTTGATTTGTTTCACAGGTTTGCCTTATTCGCTAGATGTTCTTTTTCTTTTCGTTCTATCCTTCATTACCAGCTCCTGAGCAACAAAGTATCTGTACTCTTTCAAACTCAGTTCTTTTTCTTCAGTAGTCAACAACTGTCGATGTCTGCGGTACAATAGACATGCGTTATTCAAGCATATATCTATCATTTGAGCAAATATAGACAGATACCAACGGCGAGTTTTCATTCGATAGAGGGATATTAGCATATCCATAAAATCTCCTCCACCCATGTGAGCATTATAATACTTTATAATACTTGGACACGGGACATCAACTCTCTCCTTTCTGTTTTTGTCATACCTTTTTATAGCGCTCATTAGTTCAGAAAATATATAGGTACTGACTAGGGTAACAGCTTTATTGTCATACCACTTGACGCATGTGATTTTTTTCTCATTATCAGTTTTGTGACAAAAAGCACTTCGTCCTCTTTTTCCTAATGTTTTGTCATTCTCTAGGGTGCAATTCTTCAATCTGTTTGTTCTTATAGTTCCCAATGACAAAATCCCACAGTTGTTGCGCAATACATAGACCAAATCAAGGCATGCAAAAAAATTATCAAAATATATTGTGGTGCACGGTGCATTTCGTATGGACTGACAAAGACCAATGACAACCTTAGCCTCTAATCCCATTGACATTTCTTCATCCTTGAAGTTTTGATGTTGAATAAATGTGCCTTTTCCTCCATACACGAGGAAATCATACACAAACCCAGATTTGATTCGATATGTTGCCTTTCAGATCAAGCTTTCTTTCCTTTGTATGGCACCATCATTTCATCGATACTTTGCTTTTTCTCATTTTCTACCTGAACAAAGTTCCTCCTAACTATATTAAAAAGAGATCTTACTTTGAAATATGAATCATTATTCTGATTTCTGTTATTGACAAAATGAATGCATCTCCTTATCTGCTGATATCGTTTCAGAGGCATTTATTCTACAATTTCTGGGTACCGAAATTTTTGACTCCAGTAATCCAGGTATTTTGACTATACCCATATAAATATGAATGGTTATGAAGTCACGTATTTCATCCCCAGTCACATTTATGGATTTTCCCGTCACTTGTACTGAGTATAGATTTGTGTTCTCAATACATAATTGTAGGTCATCAGAGAAGAACATTTTGAAATATTCCATAGGTGACTTCATTACCTCCGGCAATGTGAAATTGTTGCCGGGTATGTCGACTTTAAAACTGAATTTTTCATTGTTCCACTTGTAATCGTACTCTTTGGTTTTCTTTTTTTTTTGTGACCCTTTGCATTTTTTTCTGAATTTTCCATATTTTGCCCATTTCGCAACTTTCTGCTTTCTTTTTTTTTCTTGTTCTAAATTATCAGGATCTGTATTCTCTTTATTATATTCTTTGCTATTATCACTACTGTTGTTCAGTTGATATCTCGTTTTCAGCGGAGTAAAAATAAATTTAGGTGTTGGAGTGTATGTGAACTGAGGGATATTTTTGACAGGTGTCTTGAATACGAATGCTTCACAGTTATTGTCACCTCCTTTCAAAACATCCTCGGTGTCGGTATCGGAATACCAAATTGAATCTAATTCTTCAGCTACAGAATCAGGAATAGGGAGTGATGTTCCACAAACCCTAACTTTCTGTCAATGTGTATGCCCAGGAATTTAGTGCTCGTTTTGTTTTCTACTTGATGTGTTCCTAAGACCAAGTTTTCGAATTCGAATTTGAAGGTAATTATATTAGTTTTTTCCACATTGAAACAAAGATTATTTGAGTTACACCAAGATTCGATTTCGCACATTAAGGTTCATATGAAATTGTGAGAACTTGGCATTGTGTATTATTGGATACAAAATAAATCTGACATGGACATTCGTAAATTGGTAATGTGAACTATGGGATACATACAAAACAAATGCCTTTTTTCTACAAGAAACTGAAATTGGTAACAAAACTTACCTATTATTTTCCCACAAAACTGATTTCTTGTGAAAAACTAAGCAAAACTCAAACAGGTGACAATATCACGTGTTTCTCGCCGCGGTCTTCTTACTACATGATCGCCTAGTTCGTATCCGCGTCTAGATGTGGCGTAAGTAGTTACCAATTCTGTTCAATTGAAGTGTGTTTGAAACCATAGCAAGTTGAATTCACTCGATGAATGTCATTTTTGGCTGAATTATGTGGTTCAACAATGAACATCATTGTTCAGTTAGAATATTTTCATTTAGTATTCCGTTTTACTAGTAGAAAGGTACCAACCACTTCAACAATCTCTAAAATGGTCGATTCTCGTCCATCGGAAGAAAATTTGAAGCGATTTTTATTTACGGTGCGACGCGTAACTTTTACGAGACCGAAATAATTTTCAATGAACGTTTTCCGAATCGTCCTATCTGTAGAAAATATTTGAGGGAACTTGTATCCAAATTCACAACTCCCGGTAGTGTACATAACAAAAAACCCTCAGGTCATGCGTCCATTCCGGAAGAACAGCAAGTGCAAATAATTGGTGAGATGGTAGTAATTCCTGAACAGCCTACTTATTCCGTCGCGAATGTTTGTGAGGTGTCTCCTACTCTGTGGAGACTTCTGTGGAGAATAGGTTTCATCCATACAAAATTAAAATGGTACACCAATTAACTGAAGATGACCCTCATCGAAGAACAGAATTCTGCGGAAACCATTGCAAGGCATCCTACCTATCTCCACAATATTTGTTTTAGTGACTAATGTACATTTTTTTAAACGGCAATGTTCACAGACAAAATTGCCGATATTGGAGTGACACCAACCCTCACGTTTTCCGAGAAACACATACCCAATATCCAGAAAAAAATATTGATTGGGCAGGAATATTGGGAAACCATACCTCTATTTATTTATCAAAATTTAACAGGGGAACTGTATTTGAATATACTGGAAACTACTGNTGACCCTCTCATCACTGAAATCGTCGAAGCGAATCCTAATGAATTCGATATGGATATTGTATTCCAACAAGATGGAGCACCAAAACATTACTCCAGACAAGTAAGAAACTATTTGGATACTACTTTTCCCGGTCGTTGGATTGACCGTCGAATTCCTACAGAATGGCCAGCCGCTCTCCCGATTTGACACCTTTGGACTTTTTTATGGGGCTATTTGAAGCAAAAGGTGTACGAAACTGAACCTGCTTCAATATTGGATATACGGCAGATAATATTTAATATTTGTAGAGATATTAACGTTACTGTGTTCAAAAATATTCGGCGTGAAATATTGGATAGGCTATTCATATGTCAAGAAGTTCAAGGCAAACATTTCGAGCATCTTCTGAACTGACCTCAAGCTTATTACCTCATATTATGTAGTTAAATGTCAATGTATTCAGGCAATTATTAAAAGTTCCGGATCAATAAAAGCGCTTGACAAGGCACTTTGTGGCATTCAAGTCCATGCCATTTAAGAAGCACCAGTTTGATAGACTGTCAAGTTTAGACTGAAGCCTGTGGGCATCCAAGGAGATTTTAATAATTATAGGAAAAGTTTCAAGTCATCTGCAAATAGTAGTAGTGCTTTGGCGTGCCAGAAGCAATGAATAATGTCGTTAATAAA